TGTATGTTTTTGGGTTTATTGAAAATTGAAAAGTATGTCAAGTTTCCACGTATGTTGAAGACCAATGTTTTATTAATATGCCCCCACTTCTTAAACAAACCGGCAAATAACCGTAGGTATAGCGGCCTCACACAACACCATTGACCTTTGGTAGTATCGCGCAAACAAAATTTTACTTTGATACTTATCGATTCCATAAACTATAAAAATATGCTGAAATTTGAGTTTGACGTCGATTTGTTGTTAATATGGGCTATTATAGCGGCAGTTATTACCTCATTTTTATATATCTTTTTTGATGTTGGTTATTTCGTACGAACCATTATTCACATAGTCTACGGCAGGATATTTGAAAGGGATATAAGGATCAGCGATACCACCTGTATTTATGGTAAGTGAAAGAGGGGTAAGATCCTTTACTAGTAATAATGGTAAATAATTATTTTAAAATTTAAAAATAAATCACTTTGAATTTTTAGTTCGCAAATCAAGAATGCAAAGCTATTTAAGAAATAATATTTGAAGTTTATAAGAACACTCACTATAAATGATACTTTTCATTGAAATAAAAGTTTAACAAATAACAATCATTTTACAGAATTATGACATGTCCTTGTTTTCTTGGCTCCGTTATCAAAACCGGTATAAGTGCTATTGTTAACTTTTAATTTGTTTTTCGTTTAATGAGTAGATGATTAATAAATAGTTGATTCTGGTTTTCGTAGGTATGTATGTAGCAAAGTATACTTGAGCGTCTTCACACTATTTAAAATAAGCAAGTTTAGCGTTAACTTCATTCATTTTTTGGAAATGGCATTGAAATTTATTTTCGAGTAGGAATAACAATGGTGGTGTATAAAATTAATTTTTGTTTGAAGACAATAGCAATTGTAACAAACAATACCTACCTACCTAATTCCAAATACATTATTTAAAATAAGCTCCTAAATGGGTCTTGTGGATTTATTTTGGTAACACACATAATTATTTTAATATTTATATTATTTTCTAATATACATCCGTAAAAATATTTGGTTCCCTTTAACAATTTCCATCATGCGAGCAGATGACAATTCTCCCTTACTAGGGTACCAGCTCGTCCACGATTTATCTACCTCCTACTATTGCGCGCTTTGGCTAGGAAAACTTTCAACTAGACGAAAAATAGAGGGGGTGGGGGAAGCGGTAAATATTTAAGCTACCTTAACTTAACCCAACCTACATATAAGATCAGTTGGCTATAGGTTTAGTGATGTGGTTTTTACGCAGATTGGTGTAACCGTTTTTACCACTTTTAGTGATCCTCAGAACTATTACTATTTATTGCACTGCTAGACAATAGGTCGTATTTATACTATTAAAGCATTTACTTTCAACTTTGCTACAATTCGTATTCATAATCTATTTATACCTTTTCCTTGCAAGGAAATGCTTCGGATTGATAAAATAAATGATTTTGACAAACTAGTTGAAATTTGCATTGTACAATTAACGTGTGTNTAATACATTTCTGATTTACTTGTGCAGTGTTGAAAGTTAGCAAATTTAAAATGGTTCGCACTATAACGCAGAAATATTTTCCATTACCCACGGCTGCTCCACATGTTTCGGGATATGCGTCAAGAAAGTGGTCCTTAACCACACGACATTCTCCTCCTCAAATATAAATAACGTTTTAGAATCTGATTCTCGTAGTGTACGTCTTGGTTTGTAGTATTTTCTTGTACGTAAATGCACCATATCAGTCATAACAAGGACAACACTGGGACCACACAACTAAAGATTACTTATACAAGTCCTTTTAGATAGATTTTAACACAAAAACAGTTCTAGAAATACATAAATTATTACGTTACAAGCTGTCTGATGCCTGGGCAGCTATTAAAAGTTGGAAAGGGTGAGAAAAGTTGTTGTGAAGCTAGATTCGTTGTTTTTAGAAGCAAATCCTTTAATTTTTGCACAGATCCTTCTTTTAGTAAATACAAATTATGTAAAACCTTTTACTTTAATGCAAACCCTCGAAGCAAAACCTTTTCCTTTGTTTTTTTTTATGCATATACGTTGAAGGAATTGCTTCAATATTTTAAAGCAAAAGGTAGGACTTATTTGTATAAATACCACATAATATTATTGTAAATATGGAAGTCGTTCCCGATTTTTTTAAGTCCTCTGCGTTGCAGTGACTCGCTGTCAACGATAATCCAAATATAGCAATCCATTTTAGCAAAATTGCTTCAAATTGCAAATCAGGTATCACTTACATCTTCCTTTTTTATTTTAAGGATATTGTTTTACGAATGACTTGGACATCATGTTCTTACACATGAATAATGCCCGGTATGTAAGGGAATTAGACTTTGCAAGATTCCATTTTTATGATCGTACTGGTCTTTATAAGAAAATTGTGGACGGGAAAGGAACAGTGGTTCAATCTGCTTGCAGCATAAGATATCGTCGACCCATATCCATCTTCACACCATTTACAGTAACAACTAAAGTAAGTAAACTTAGCAATATTTGATTTAGTTACACCAAAAGTACTGACGAGAGAAAGGAAGCTAAAGCGTTATCTGGGTGGGTTTATACAAACATAAAGGACTTCCTCGAGATAAAAATGTTCAGTCTCTCAGAGTCTCTGAAAGCGAGACTCGAATCTCCGTCTCTCGTCGAGTCTCTGTGGTGTCGCTGAGAGAGACTGTCGAGAGACTGTCAAAAAAAACTGTTTAGCGTCTCTTAACGAGAGACTCGAGTCGCTCTTAGAGAGATCCACATTTCGTATCCAGTCTCTGAACAAGAGACTCGAATCTCTGAACGAAAGACTCGAATCTCTCAATAAGTGGTGTCTCGATAGACATGGTTAAAATTTTCAAAGTTCAACATATTTCAGAGATCCCAGTCTTTCTATGAGAGTCTCNTTCGTAATGAACATAAAGAATTAAGTGCCTACAAATAAGTCTCAAATTATTTATCAATTAGGCATTAACATTATTAATTGGCCTTTAGAAAAGTCAAGTCATGCTTATTTATAGAAATATTCGCGTTATGTATGTTTGCAACAGGCTTTTAATTTTTTACTGCAATATCTGAACGTACATGTCTCTGTATTTTGTTTGTTAGATTATTGATTGGGATGACAGAAACATATACATCCAGCAGAATTTCATAACAATATCCGATAATTTTATTCGGGCGACTGTTCTAAGCAGACAAACAGTGAATGGTCCAAACGTTCAAGAAATAATGGAGAGCCTAATAGATGAAGACAGTCCATTCAAACCGAATCCATCACTGGAATTGAAACATTGGAAAGCATGTTTGGAAGAGTCAAGTAACAGTCTAAAGAAGAAAGATTAGGATACAGTGCCACCGTTTCCTTTTCATATTAAGTTTTATAGCT